AATAAAGGTAAAACACAAGTACTCCTAAATAAAGAAAAATCAGCTGCATTTCCAGACTTATTAGCTAACCATGTTAAATAGCACATGGAACCCTAACCGTGGTCACAAGCATCCTTGCACTTTGAATAGTACATGCTGCATACCAACACATCCAGCACATCTCTGCTCTCTATATCACGCTTAACAGTGAGGCTAGAGACCATATGTTATTTCTGTACCTATTAAAAACTGTCCAGATTAAAGCAGCTTCCTGGTATAGTCACTAATGATATAGCAGATCGTTCACCAATTTAGCTTAAAACTGATTGCCTTTCTAATGGTTTACGGCTGTATCTTCATTATGGAAAAAATTGTATTTTTAGCCTGTGAGCTAACCTGTCTTAACTAACTAGATAATACGAGAGAGACTACAAATGCCTTGTGTCAATTGGAATTGTAAAACATATTACCAAATAGTTAAAAATACAAGTTTTCTTCCTTCTATGACACTAAATCTTTAGTACTTTACCTTCTGAAAAGAAAAAGAAGAGTGAAATGTGAGAACCAGATACTGACTATTATGAAAACACTTTGATAAAAAGAGCTGAATATTTGATCTGAATATTAACAGTTTGATCCTGCACACCCATGTGGGTAATGCATGGGTATTACTGTCTTGAAAAATAAATTACTTGCCTAAATAAGGCATTATAGAGTCAGGCCCTACCAAAATAGAAATAGGTGACTCATTTACTCATTTGATGATATTCCAACTCAATTGTTGATTATGCAGTCACATGCATATGTTTTATCTTTATGCAAGTAAATTAAGTCAGTGAAACTGCCTGTGTATATAAAGTTATACATGTATATTTGTGTTCGAAGGCTTTTTACCCAATCCAGTTTCCCTCAAAAATACATATTTACTCAAACACAAGATGAGTTTTTTCCTTCCCAAACGGCATGAGGGAAAAAGTCTTTTGTCTTATAATACAAGGAAATCTCAATAAATACATTGTCTATCATTAAACTGCTGCCAAAAGAAGCAAGTGCTCACCAGTGGAAATCAATTATGAAGCTGATTAAATGCAGTCAACACTGAGCTTGACTATAAGAGACATAGCCTACATTGAGCAAACACACTGATAGGAACCTACCTCAAGGATAGGTTAGCAGCGCACATCTGAATAAGACCTCTTAATGGGTAGTGCCCATTAAGCACAGTCCCCCTCAGCACCAAATATTTTTCAAGCCATGTTGAGCCACTACATTGCATATAGTTCACCCAGAATCCTTCCGTTTCTCCCTCTCTCAGCTTGGCACATCTGACTAGTGTCACCTGACCTTCCATGAGGTGAAGCCAGACCCTGCAACCCATCTGCATATAAATTTTTGGAGCATCCCAGTACTCATGACAAGACTACCCAGTTCAAATCATGAGTGAGGACTAATTAACATATGGATCCTTTTTGGGGGGCAAGAGGGGTGTCTGGAGTAGACACATACTGAGCAGTGCTGAGCTGTAGGGTCACCCTGGCTTGAAATGCTGCTGACCCGGGTGGGGCCCAGCCCAATGAACTATATTGTAAATCCTTTGGTAAAGCCTTTGGCTTTGACCCAATATTATGCATAGTGGACTCAGCAATCAGCTCCAGGGGGACACCCCCCACCCCCCATGCTCAGCAATCGGCCACCAGCATCCCTGCCCCCCTGCGCGGTGATCGGGGGGGGGGGGGGGCCAAATTTAAGCATGGGCCCCGGGGCCCGGGA